CACTTCTGAAAAATAAATCCGCTTCTTCCTCGTATGTTGAATATTACAGGAACGTAAAGCAGGTTCAGTAGGCTGTGACAGCCCTGTCAAGTGAATAATCAGCCATGCCTAGTGCACCACAGTCTCTTCACAAAGATGCAAACATAAATCTTGTCAAACTTTCATATTCCAGTGAGTTTACCCTTCGTTACTATCACAGCTGGTAGCACTTTGTGTAAGTCGACTGTGCGTTTCTGTGTGATTTTATACAATCCACAAGCTAAAGATGGAAAGACCTATTAAATCATGCCGTCTGTCTTCCTGCCAGTGCATGACAAAGATAATTCTGATTGTAAGCTGCACTTTTGCAGTCAAAGTAACTAAACCAAAAAATTAATCTCTGCCTTACCTCATCGAAAAGTGTACATGAAACACAGCACGGTATGCGAGATGCTGGATGATAACTCTGTACAGGTGCACTTACACAGGCAGGGGAATATGGACCATCTCTTCTTCTCCTTCCAAGCTCAAGACCGGTATATACAATGCTGTTTTGTATTTTATGCTTGAAACATACTATTCGGCATTGCAAACTGAAGATTTTTTTTTTTTTTTTTTTCCTAGTGCTTGTTGCAGTTCCTTATGAAATTATTTTCAGTTCTCATTAAAGTAGAAACCAAATTCCAACTTTTCTTTTTTTGAACTGTTGCTGGGAGGTGTCAAATTATCTCATAGATAAACATTCACCCTCTTTGGTCAGATAGGAGAACTGGTCTTGATGTTGGAACAGGGAGAGTGCTTCATGAAACCTGGCTACAGCAAGAGCTACCTGGCCCTTAGGTCTCCAGAAATAAAACCCCTCTCATGAGTTTGAGGAAAGCTGGTTGGGCTTGTTAACGGAGCGTACGTGGAGACTGTTTTGCCTAGGAGAGTGGAAGGAGAAGGTCAGTTGGAGTTAACATCCAGCATTTGCTTTCTATAAACACTTCAGGCTGGCATTGCCACCAAAAGGGGTGGAGGAGGTTGATTTTTAACCTGGCTGGTTCCCCGTGCTTGGCAGTGTAAGGAGAACTGCATGGGAGTAGGAACAAGTAGTTGATATGTCAGTTCAGATAGCTGAAAGTATTTGTGCAGCTGGGCTTTGGGGGATGCCCTCGCGTTGCCTTGTGGAAGGGGTGCTTGTCTTTCTGATCTGACTCATTGCAGACAACCAGATTTTCCAAAATTGCTGTTCAAGTTAGGCTTCCAACTGGTTATCCTTTCCTGAATGTCGGAGAGGATCTTCAGAAGTAACAGATTCCAGAACAAACTGTTGACCATATGACGATGCACTTCAAAACCAGACTGCTTATTGGGAGGAGCCTTGTACTCAGCAGCCGTGGCTGGAAATGTTTCCCATCAGTGGGAACTCCAGTGGGCCTATGTCTGCTGTCAGTGCCAAGTCTGTTCTGATCAGCATTGTCCTCTGTGCGTTTCAGGCTCCCTGTCTTGGGTTCTGCCTGAGAGCAGAACAAAAAGACAGTACTTGTTGTAAGTTCGTAGTTCTCTTCCAGTTCTCCTATCTCTGACTACCTGTGGTCATCTCTTGTTGTACGCGTAGATTTTAAACTCTTAAGGACAGGGGACGTCTTTTCATTATGCTTACAAGTGGTGCAGTGAGCTCCTGATCCAAGCCTCTGGGCGCTCTTGCAGTCCAAACGATGGATGATGTTTGTCATAGCAGCCCACTGGGCAATCCAGGCTGTTACAGAGAGACTCTCCCTGTGTGAGAAGTTCCCCTTTGGTTTTGATTTAGAATAAACGTGAATGCATCAATTTTTCAGACACTGCCACCTGAAGGAACAAAAGGGTCAGTGCTTTCGTCTATGGTTATAGCTCAGGCTTTGGGATCAAGGACTGGGTCTGCTCGCTAGTTCCAGAGTACTTTGAGCTTGTAAATATGTGCCAGTTACCCTGGAGGCAGGCCTGCTGGAGACTGGGAGCCTTTGAGATTCTCCAGAGCAATAAAAATCTAACTCTATTTGCTTGTCTAATAAACAGACCAGCAGAGAATCTTAAAGGACCTACAGACCCGTCCAGATTCAGACCAGTATAGTGTTGTCAGCCCTCTTTATTTTGTTACTTTAATAACAGCTTGAAAGTATGTCTTATTGTTTCTTTATTGCTTGAAGATCCCTTGGAAATGTCAGGTTTTGGTGGAACAGAGCGTTTTTTTCCAGGGTGGTTAAACTCAGCCCTGACAAACTCAAAAAGAAGCGTGGCTTGTTCGTTTTTTCTTCAAGAAAACAAGCTGGGAGTCTGTTGTGGCTCACGAGGGTAACATGGACACTTTAATATTCCAGGTAAATTTGCAGAAGACATATTTGGAGAGTTGTTTACTCAAGCCAACACCTTTGCCTCTCGGGTGAGCATTCTAGTCGAGAGAGTTGACCGCTTGCAAGTCAAAGTCACTCAGCTGGATCCCAAAGAGGAAGAAGGTAATGGAGTGGAGCACAGTCCTTTCAGACCAAGCGTGGTAAAGATTCTTATTGAGTCAGCGTGGTTGGTTCACGGCCATAAAATGAGCATGATGCTGCGATGGGTGTTGGAACGTCTTCTCTTAGACTAAGAGGGACTGTTTCCTCCCATCCTGAAAAAGCACCATGGTGCTCATGTGGATAGCCTTTCTGGCCGAATCTAGATTTGCTCGTTAGCAAGTCTCCACGTGGAAACTCGCTTTTCAGCAGTTTGATAGCGGTGCACTTCTTGAGTCTTGGTTGCAGGGGTTTGAAACCACATTGGCAACTCTCAAGAGAGCCATGTCTATACAGCAGCAGATCTTGGCACGGTGTGATCTGAGATTTGCTGGGTTTCCCGAGAGATCTGTGGGAAAAGGAACCTGACCTTAAGAAGTGCTAAGCGTGCCAAGAACTCCAACTGAAATCAGATGTTCGCTACTTGATCTTCAATGTCATTGGCCTGGGTCAAGCTGTTCTTCACTTACTCTCTCTTCTTTCTTACAGTCTCCCTGCAAGGCATTAACACCAGGAAGGCCTTCAAAAGCTCCACTACTCAGGACCAAAAGCTCTTCGACAGAGATTCTCTCCCCGTGCCTGTCCTTGAAACCTATAGGACCTGCAATACTCCTCCACCTCTCAACATTCTCTCACCTTACAGGTATGGCTGTAACACCTTCTTGGCCCCTTGTTCCCTTGCAGAGGAGTACCTCTTCCTCCCAACCTGCCAAGGAGGTAGTGTCCCATCCCATGCTGTATTGAAGTAGCCGTTTCCAATGGGAAATCGAGTTGCTAAATGGAGATCCACCAGGAAACCTCCATCCTCTGGATTACGTGAAACTTTGCTTTTGGGGCTGTACAAATGAGCGTAGCTAGAAAATTATATGTTTGGTTACCTGCTGTCACTTTTGTGACTGCCTTGGGGCAAGGCTTGGCTGGCACTGCATAAACATGCTAGGTGTTGTGCAGATGATGCATTTTTCTTGTGCTTCTCTGTAGCCCTGTGGCTCCTTTCCAGAAAGCCGCAGTGCAAACTGCGGAGCATACATCTGTAAATGGCTGTCACCCAGGTGGGTGCAGCAGACTCCTGTAGATCTGGAGATGTTTTCCGTGGCCTTCTGTGCCTGGTCTGAGACATCTGATGTGACCTACGCTAGCCATGTAACCAGTTCTCCTGAGCAGGTCCGCTCTGATTTCATCGTGTAGGTAGTAGAAGTAAAGGGGGTCAGAATACAGAGACTTAGCCCACATCCATAAATATCTTTTGAACAGGTAAAAAGTAATTACAGATAGCTGGAGGCAGCTGTCTTCTGCCAGACGCGGCTGCACTGCAAAATAGGAGGAGAGTGTGTGTGAGCGTGTGTGCTCGCTCATGAGTTTCAAGGATGCTGCTGGTCTGATTTAGGGTTCCTGGGCTGGAGAAGGTTATTTTCCCACCAGAAAATACAATGCAAACAAGTGGGAGTTGAAGTGAGAGACCTGCTGCTCTCTTGGTGATCGTTCAGAGCAGTTGAGCTCTTCAGGTGCTGAGTAATGGAGAATTTGTGTGAAGGCAGAAGCGATGGCGAGTGGGAGAGCTGGGACAAGCGAAGCTGTGGGTCTGCTGCCTCTTCTGAAATGGAGGACAGAGGCAAGAGCGGCGTGTTTGACCTTCTCACTGTAGACTTTTAAACTGTCATCTGGGGTTGTGCCTTGTGTTTTCTTTGGGCTTCAAACAAATGCATAACTTGATCCTTGTTTGTGTGTTGTTTTTTTTTCCCCTCCCTGTTCTAGGGATGATGGCAAAGAGGCGCTTAAATTCTACACAGATCCTTCCTATTTCTTTGACCTTTGGAAAGAGAAAATGCTTCAGGACACCAAGGATATTATGAAAGAGAAGCGGAAACATAGGGTGAGGAAATGGGAGATCTCTGCCAACAGAGGCATGTCAGGGAAGAATAGGAGGTGGGAAGTGTTAATGAATCTTGGACTCCAAAGTTGCTATCCAAAATTCAGGCTTGCTCTCTTAAACTCTTTAGGGATCAATTCAGTGAAGTTTTTATCTAGTTTACTCTCATCCTTGTTAATTAAAAAAAGAAAACAAAGATACCCTTAATCTGTTTTTCCAAATGCCACTGTCTTTGTATGGTTATAATGGCTTCATTTGTAGTCCTCAAACACAGCGCTGGTGCAGTCAGCAGGGGAGAAAGTTGTGTTGGAGGCTTTTCTGCACTTGATGTTGCACAGGGGTCTGTTCAGTGTTGAAGCAGTGCAAATCCCGCTACCCCAGCACCACAGTGTGTTGAGTGGTGTAATAAATTCTACTGTGGAAGAATAAAGGAAGGAGAAAATGTCCCTTCAGGAGTGCAAAACCAGGCCCTAACATTAAATCAGGGGCAAGTGGGAGGCTTAACAAAACTATTTAAGCTGAAAATGCCAGGTAGAGTTCCTGGTTCGGTTGCTTGGGGATTTGTGCCCATGTTTACCAACACGGAAACTTACACCATAAAAGATTCAGTCTGAGCATACTTTAGTTAGCTTTGGAGCAACTGGAGTATTAAATGCCAAAACAAATCACGATTTTTCAGTCAGAATAAGAAAGGAGAGATTTAGGGCATGTTAGAATGCAGAGAGTGAGGCTAGCTGAAGCCCAGCTCTTTGTGGCCAAGTGTCCGTATTGCACCCCAAAGCACGTAACACCAGGAAGGAGATGGTGAGATTCGGCAGTCTTGACACAGAGGCCAAAAACTGAATTGATGTGGAAAACTGAGCTTTCACTCTGCCCTCAAGGTGGCCAATGCCAGGGAGTAATGATGGCATCGTGTCTGGGCTGCACTGGGGAAATACGATGCTGTCTGTGCTCAGGCTTCTTTGTATGGGAGATCTTTGGAGCTTGCAGCAATCAGAAAAGTAAATTAAAAATCCTGGTCCTCTTTGAGACCGTATTTTTTTTGAAACTGCTACAAGTCTGTCCTAGCCTTCCCTATTCCCAGGGAGTTTAAAGCAAAATAAGGCTTCTGTTTGATTCCTCCTCCCTTAGAAAGAGAAAAAGGAGAATCCGAACCGAGGAAATGTGAATCCGCGGAAAATCAAAACCCGTAAAGAAGAGTGGGAGAAGCTGAAAATGGGACAAGAGTTTGTAGAGTCAAAGGACAAACACGGTCCTGCCGGGTAAGCAAGTCTGGGGCTCTGCGGTCAGCTCCCCAGCGAGGGGGAGCGGGCGGGCGTTGTTGATTGTAATGCAGTTCACCCTGCTCTGCAGCTTCTGCAGATCTGCTGCACAGTGCGGATCGATACTGCCACTAATCAGATTCTCCAAAGTAAATCCGTCTGCTGATGTAAAATTTGCTAAATAAATCAAGGAGCTACATGGTTTGAGCAAGGTGGCAGGAACAGCTTCAGTAGCAAGTCTGCTCTCGGCTGCCTGTCTTGTGGGCACAGAAGTGTTGAGAGCTTTGGCTCCCTACCCCATCACGATGCCCTTCCCATCACACCTAGCCGCGGGGCCTTACGCTGAGGAGCGGGGTGGCATCTCCGTGGTATTGTGCGATTGCTTTGTTACATTTCACAAATGGCTCTTCACACCCTAAAGTTGAAGCGGGGGCTGTCCCCATCCAACTATTTCAAGCTACAGATCTCTCTTCAGCGCTTCTGGCTTGGGAATTCATTTAACTTTTGACACTAGCAAGGCTGGAAGCAGACTGAATTCCCCACAATGCACTTCTCGCTTGCTCGCTCCTTGCAGTTTCCTTTCATATAAGAAAAATCTCTCTTTAAATCACACTCTCCAGCTAAAAATAAAACTTGCTTTTAGTTTAATAGGAGAACAGGTTTGGTTTCTAGCAGAGGAATCGAGCAGCAGCACAACAGCATCATTTTCTTGCTCCTCTCTTTTTTTCGTGTAAGCGTGTTCATGCATTTGAATTCACTTGAGGTCCAGAGCCCCCAGGAATTTGGTGGTTCCCCCACCCCACAGTGAAATGAGCTCATTGAAAGTTGAGTGTGAGAGTGCGCTCTTCCTCCAGTGCTATTTCAGCTTTGGATACTTGCTTTTAATGGCACTGCTGTTTCTTGGGTTCTTTTTGATATTCTATTCTCAAGCTTATTTTTTGGAATCTTTGAGTACCTCTTCTTTTTTTGCCACTGGTGATATCCACCATAACTGGGAGTCCTTCAAGTCCAAGTTGGTCAAAACACTCTTATAAGTGATTATAGAAAAAATATTTTTTTTTTATTTCTGTGTTTTCTTGTTCGCTAAAATACAGACTCATGTTGTTCTGGGGTGTGGTAGCAATAAACAAACATGAGAGCATCTGGGCAAATTCTAGGCTAAGGATTATGCAGAGCAAACTAGTACAGCCATACGTGGTCCTTCATATAGGATGCTTTGAGAAATGGAGGGGGTTTTTTTTCTTTTTAAAAAATGTTGCTCTAAGGTTTGCTTTTGTGTGTCCTGTTGTGGTGGTTGATAAGGTCCCAC